AGTTTCACTAGCCCACGCCAGTGCAGAGACCAGGAACAGCATTGAATCTCTTTAACTAGAGGGAACTATTGGATCCAGTTATAGTTTTTTGAGGGAGTCCAGAAGGATTGTATCGAGACCAATAGACTTTTCAAGCTTCTTTTTTTAATCTAATTTATTTTGAGAATACATTTTCAGAGCTGATTAGCTAGCGTACTAAATCATTGCACTGTCTAACCCCAAAAAGCAACCCTGACAAACAATTAACAATAGAAACACCATTGTGGCAACAAGTGATGGATGGCTCAAGGGTGTAGCTTGGGCCTAGTCTTTGTTCAGAAGAGAGCTGCTGCTGCTAAATAAAGAAATGGGTAGTAAAAGGTGAGAGCGAACAGATCATATCTGGAATAAAACTATTCGCTCTACTTGAGAGTATGTTTCCTCACAGCAGTGATCTTCTCAGGAGAGACAAGCAAGCCCCATGGCTCAGGGCAGGCCACAAGTCAGAAACTACCCCGCACCAACCCTCTTTCTGCCTGTGATGAAACAGCCTCTCAAGGTTTCTGCTCTCTCACTGTGGGTGAAATACAGTGTCTGCTTGCCTGCAGGCTGGGTGGTGAGGTGGGGTGACTGTTCTCTCCCAGGATACCCATTCAAGATTTGTACCTAGGACCTGTAATTTCAGGCCCTCTTGTCTCGCTCCGACCTCCCACATCCCTCCGAGCTCCCAGCTGGATGTCCCAGACTGTCTGCCAGCCCGCGCCCAGTAAGAGCTGCACCTCGGGCCGGCCAGGCTGCCTGGAGTCTGCTCAAAGGGCTTCTGACCACACACCAGGTGCCTTCCCCAGAAGCAGGGTGAGCCTGACTCCCCCAGCTGCCTTGACTCTGTCTCTTTTGGAGTCACGAGAAAGGGTTTGGAACAGCTCTGCCACTTTCCAATGATGCAGACAACTCTGCTTCTGGGAGTAACAAGAGCTTCCTTGTAAGTTCCTGCAAAGACTGCAGAGTTCTTTCAAGTGAAGAACCCAGAGAGCTGGATTGTTACCTGCAGACATCTTCTTATGAACCAGGAGCTCTTTTTAACCCTTTTAAGAGCAAGTTTCAAGTTCATTTCTATTGCCACAGGCAATTTCCTAATTCCTGCTTTTCTGTCATTAACTTCTAATTGCTGTTCAAAGTTTTGTGTTAATTTACCAATTTGCCTATAACTTATGGCTGTACTCTGTTAAGAGAAATAGAATAATTTATCATAATACCTCATATTGGTTTTATTATGCAGAGATTAGAAAGTAACAAATATAAAGACATAGTGTAAAAAAGGAATCTGGATATATATGCACTGCAAAACAGGTGGTAGGTAAAGATTAGTTACTACAGACCACTGGAAAGACCACAGGGTTGGAGGGACCATTTAAAGTCTACAACATTTTAAACGGTGATAAACATGTTTGAAAATCTTTGCCAAACAAGACAAACTACCCTTCTCTAATCTGCACAGGAATGTTATTTTGTGTATGCTTCACATGCGCATGCACACGTGCATGCACGCTCACATAATATCTAGGTCACAATTTTTTTAGGAGCAAACACAGTAAGAAAAAGTCAATGATTAGTCCAATAAATTATTTATCTTCATCGTCTGAGGAGGCTTTGCCATTTTCTGCTCTTACTGAACCCTAAAACAGCAATTTGGCCAGCCTTGACCAATCGCATGCCTTGTGCTGTGTTAAACAGTCAGTGTGCTGAGGTTGAATTAGACAAAATATCTCTAGCTTCAGCATCAGAAATACAGAAAACAAAAAACAAAAATGAAGCCTAAAGATCTCTTGGACTGTGTTTTATGTGCCAGATCACCACAGTGAGCAATATGAACTGAAACTCTGAAGCAAATTTAAGATGACCTCCCAGTTATTTTAGTGTTGAGAGATTCACTTTGGTGGTAGATGTGTTATTCGGAAAGCAGGTTTAGTTTCAGGATGAGACTCCTGAGACTTTTTATGCCCTTTTCTACTCAAGGACTATTGGACCAACATGATCAATTGTACTAAGAGCAACAAAAATGCAACAAACTCCACCTCGACCGTGTATCCCTGAGTCCTCTTCAGAAGCAGCTCTATTGGTCACCTGCAGTGTTTTGGTGGTTGGTTTTGGTTGCTCTAGACCTTTGGAGCCCAAGTGATGGATCAGGATATGTTATTGTATTGAGCTATATACAAAACAAAAAATAAAAACCTTCATTCACAGATCTGCACAGGCAAAATACATGCTTTATGACTGGCTGCAATGACAGGGCACTGACACTTGGAAAACTTGTGCCTGATGTACAAAGAAGACAGTGCACTGAGCACATCCGTGTTTCCTTGCAGAACTGATAAAACTTATGTTATACCACTGCTTCATGCAGGACCATCCCGCCTTGCCTAAACCACTGGCCTGTGTACCTCACAAGAGCGAGGTCAACATCTTTCTGTATTTGCTGCAGGAATGTGCTGTGTACAAGGTACATCGATTCCCTGATTTTGGAAAACCCTCTGGTTGTCACCCACATGTTCCCACTGTTTCCCACACACGCAGCTGGTGGTGGTGCCAGTGCACGGTGTGGGGTGCCTGTCCCAGCACGATAGCAGGGGCTGGGCTCCCATTTAGCATCAACTCACTATGTTCCTTGCTGATCCAAGGAAATTATAGACAAATGCAAATTCTGCCTCATTTTTATTAGCATTTTCCTTTTCTGGGGGGTTTCCCTCCCACCCAAAGAGGATATGCCCTAAGCCTTGAATTTACTTCTCGTTAATACATACTGCCATATATTGACACGTATAAGTCGTGTGCTCTGGCCCGCCGCGTTGTGACTGGTGCGGGGTGAGTTCAGGGGCTGGCTGCCACCTTTATTCCACTTGAGGCTGCAAAAGCCTTGTGGCAGCTCCTCCCAGCACCCTGCAGGTGCCGGGGGGCTGCCTAATGGGCCCCCTCTGCCCTCTCTCTGCTCTCTGCCCCCTCTCCCCTTTCTCCTCACTCTTTCCCCTCTCCCCTTTCTCCCCCGTCTCCCCCCTATTCCCTCTCTCTGCCCTCTTTCTCTTCTCCCCTCTCTCCCCCCTCTTCTCCCTCTCCCCCCTCTCCTTCCTCTTCCCCCTCTCCCTCCTCTGCCCTCTCTCCTCCATCTCCCCTCTCTTTCTCCTCTCCCCTCTCTCTCCTTTCTCTGACTTCTCTCCAGCCACTGTCCCTTCTCCCCTCTCTTTCCCCTCTCCCCTCTCTCCCTCCTGTGCCCTCTCTCCCCCCTCTTTCTCTTCTCCCCTTCCTCCCCCCTCTTTCTCTTCTCCCCTCTCTCCCCCTCTTTTCCCCCTTTCCTCCCTCTCCCCCCTCTTTCTCTTCTCCCCTTTCTCCCCCCTCTTTCTCTTCTCCCCTTTCTCCCCCCTCTTTCTCTTCTCCCCTCTCTCCCCCTCTTTTCCCCCTTTCCTCCCTCTCCCCCCTCTTTTCCCCCTTTCCTCCCTCTCCCCCCTCTTTCTCTTCTCCCCTTTCTCCCCCCTCTTTCTCTTCTCCCCTTTCTCCCCCCTCTTTCTCTTCTCCCCTCTCTCCCCCTCTTTTCCCCCTTTCCTCCCTCTCCCCCCTCTTTCTCTTCTCCCCTTTCTCCCCCCTCTTTCTCTTCTCCCCTTTCTCCCCCCTCTTTCTCTTCTCCCCTCTCTCCCCCCTCTTTCTCTTCTCCCCTTCCTCCCCCCTCTTTCTCTTCTCCCCTCTCTCCCCCTCTTTTCCCCCTTTCCTCCCTCTCCCCCCTCTTTCTCCCCTCCCCTCTCTCCCCCCTTTTCCCCCTCTCCCCTCTCTCTCTCCCCCCTCTCTCCTCTCTCTCTCCCCTCTCTCCTCTCCCTGCCCATTTTCCCCCCTCTCCACTCTCTCCACTCCCCCCCCGCTCCCCTCTCCCCGCCTCGCGGCCGGTGCCCGCCTCTCCCGCCAGGTGGCGCTCCGACAGCGGCTTTGCTGCTGGCGGGCCGGGCCGTGCGCGCGGCTCCGGGGCGGCCTCGCGCCCCAGCCGCCCCACAGCCGCGCGCTCCCCGAGCGCTCCCGCTGTCCGCGGTGGGGACGGGGCGGCCCGGCCCGGGGCGGGCGGCTGCCGGGCGGTGCGACGGCACCTGCTGCCCCGGGAAACAGCGAGAGATGGAGAGGAGCGAGGGGGAGCCCCCTCCCTGCCCCGGGCCCGTCGCAGGGACCCGCTCGGGGGGGCCGGCGGAGCGTGGAGGTGGGGGGGGGCCGGCGGCGGGACCGTGCGGGCGCCCCGGCGGCTGCGGGCGGCCGCTCCGCTCCGCTCCACGCCGCTCCGCTCCGCTTGCTGCCCCCCGAGAGGGGCTTCAAACCGGCTTCCTCGGGGGGGTCCTGGGGGCCTTTCACTGCTTTTTTGTTTTCAGAAAAACACTATCAGCAGAACAATTCCCGCACCACACCCCTGTTATCATTTAGGTAACCTCCCTGTTTGAAATATAATAATGAAATAGTCACCATATCCGTGTAAATTCCCGCAACGAGGAGCCGGGATACTCTCGGCAGGAAGGCGGCTCGGCGAGGCAGCCGCAGCAGCCTGCTCCCCCCGTGGGGTCGGACTCAGCGCGGCCGAGTCCCACAGACACCCGATGCGAGAGCCCACTGCCACGCGGGGCCCGGCGGGACGCGCGGCTGCCAGCGGCTCAGCGTCCCCGTCCCTGTCATTAGCAGGATCGATCAAAAAAAAAAAAAAAAATAAAAGGAGAGGGCACTGCAGGTGGACGGGCGGGGCGTTTGGGCAGCAGGGGGCTTTTGCAGTGCCCGCCGGTGGCCGGTGCCGCCCAGCCCGCCCCGGTGCGGGACACAGCGGCTCCGCCGGGGATGGCGAGGGCTGCCCGGGGCTCAGCCCGCCGCGCCGGCTCGGCTCGGCAACCGGGAGGGAGAGTAGCAGCACGTTACACGCGGGGAGGCAGAGCGAGGGGAGGAGCGTCGGGACCGGGGCAAAGGCATAAAACCAGCCCCAGGTACTCGGCAGCGCCGGCGAACGGGCGGCTATCGCGGAGTAAAAACTTCAGCCGCCCCCCCACCCCCCCCTTCCTCCTCCTCCCCCGGTGCCGGCCGGCGCGGAGCAGCGCGGGGTGCGGACAGAGCGCGGCGGCCCCATGCCGCCAGGCGGGCCGGGGCCAGCACCGGGGGTACCCCCCGGTGACACCCCCCGGAGCCCCTGCCGCTTTCCCCCGGGCTGAGCCCGCAGGAGTTGCCGCGCTCGCCGCCCGAGGAGGATCGCTGTGAGCCTCCCTGCAGGCAGGTGATCTGTCTGCCATTTCTGGTTACCCTTCTTCCCACCTCCTCCGCCTTTCTTCCCCCCCGGCTGGACAACTCCCTCCTTTGGAGAACACGCCCAAGTAGCTGAAGAAGAGAGAAAGGGAGGAAAAAAAAAAAAAAAAAAAAAAAAAAAAAAAAAAAGAAGGGAAGAAGGGGGGGCTGGGGGGGGGGTGGTGGTGGAAGAGAGGGAGATAGTTAACATTGAGCCCGGAGCTGCTGGCGCTCAGGAGGATCCCGCAGCCCCATACATCGCCAGCAATAAAGCGCTACGTGTGACAGGCATACAAATCCGGGATAGAGGGAAGAGCGGGGCAGGCGGAGCGCCGGGTGCGGAGCGCCCCGGGCCTGGGCCATGCTGAGCGGGCGCGGGGGCTCGGCAGCGCGGTGTGGGGCGCGGCGGGGGCTGCCCCTCTCCCCCGCGCGGCCGTGACCCGCAGCGGCCCCGCCAGCCACGGCCCCGGGCCGGCAGCGCGGCACGCATCGTTTCGCATGTTGGTCTGAGACACGGCAAGCAAGGAATATGAACAGGAAAACAAGGCGCTGGATCTTCCACATCTTCCTGAGCCTGGGGATTGTGTACATCAAGATCGGGTAAGTAACTTTTTTTTTTTTTTTTTTTTTTCTCCTTTCTTTTATAACAATTTCGCGCTCTCTCGCTCTCAGCCTAACCTGCCCAGACCTGTTACTATTTAACTCGGGAAGACTCAAAACCGAGTGATGATGGTGGTGATCACGATTATTTCTGAATAGACCAGCAGAACCCCCACACCTCCGGGAGACCCTCGGGGGCGCAGCCTCCAGCTGCGGAGCGGCGAGGGGCCGGGCGGCTGCCCCCTGCCGTGGGGGGACGCGGGGCACTCCGCGGGGGGACCCGGGGCACTCCGCGGGGGGACCCGGGGCACTCCGCCGCGGGGCACCCGGCCCTTCTCCACCCCGCTCCCCGGTCCCCGGCGCCGGGTGCCGCGGCCGCTCTCGCCCCCGCCCGGCTCCCGCAGCTACCTGCCGCCGCCTTGCATCCCGGGGCGGGCCCCCCGCTTCCCCGCACGGCAACCCCTGGGCGGCTGCAGCCGGAGGAGACGCCGCCGCCCGCACCGGGAGGGGAGCCGGGAGGGTGGCTGCTCTCCGGTCCCGCAGCATCCCCGTCCAGGTGCGCCCGGCTGCGGGGGGAGGCGGCGCAGCCCGGGGGGCAGAGGGAGCGGGTTAGCCGCCTTCCCTCCCGCCCTCCTTCCCTCCAACTGTTCCACAGGAGAGGGAAAACCCTCGCAGCCCGCTGCCTGTGCGTGGCCCGGGCACGCAACGCCGCTGCATGCGCTTTAATTTACGAATGAGGAAGTTGGGTCCTGTTTTGGCAGGAGCCCACGTGCTCTTTATCTCTGCTTTGGCTGCGGAGAGAGGGAGAGGGAAGCGACGGGGAAAAGGCGGGTGTTTTCCGGGGGCACCTGCCAAAGCTGGGCCCTGCAGCGCAGGAAGGTGGCAGGGTGCTGCGTCCGCCCCCCCGGGATGAGCCTCCCCCCAGCCACCCCGGTGTCTTGTCGTTGCAGGGGTTTTTCCTCTGTGGTGGCCCTGGGAGCCAGCATCATCTGTAACAAGATCCCGGGTCTTGCCCCCCGGCAGCGGGCGATCTGCCAGAGCAGGCCCGACGCTATTATCGTCATTGGGGAAGGGTCCCAGATGGGCATCAACGAGTGCCAGTTCCAGTTTCGCAACGGGCGCTGGAACTGCTCTGCCCTGGGAGAGAGGACCATCTTCGGGAAGGAGCTGAAAGTGGGTACGTTGCCTCTCTGCTCGCTACTGACTGGCTCCCGCCTGCGTGACACCAAAAGGGGGGCACGCGGGGAGTGTCACGGGGCACAGCTATCGGCGTGGGGAAAGACCAGCCAGCTCACAGCACTTGTGCCAGCCAGGGCAGGACTGTCACCCTGAGCGTGGTCACCTGGATGCTGTGGCTGTTACCAGTATGCCTGGCATCCGTGCTTCCCCCTAGCAGGGCACCTGCTGCGGCCCTTGCTGCGGTTCAGGAAAGTGCTACCACACGTGCTAGCTTCCACCACAGTAATTTCACTGTCCTGCTCTCACAGATCCTTTCTGAAAGGTTTTCCACTTGTGTGCATGGGACAGAAGACTTATTCATGTACTTAAGGATGCAAAAAAGGTGTTTGGTTCTGCCTAAAGGTAGTGGTCAGAGACCGAAAGCTGAGCGGGGTTGTAATTACACTTCTGGGGTGTAGGAGATTCCACAGCACTTAAAATACAAAGACTGAGGAAAAGTGTTTTCCAAATACAGCTATAGCCATTTTCAGAGCCATCACTGAAAGATAATTACTTATAGTACAGCATTCTGCATCCAGGAGTTGAAGTTGGGACCCATGATTTCCAGTGTTGAGGTCTTTCTGTCTCCTCCCCACCTAAAATGTAGATGCAATAACCAGAAAACCCATCAGACAATGCTTAGTGTGATAGAAAACATGGGTATTTCATGAGAACAGAAGAAGTGACTGAGAATGGAAGCTAGAAGAGCCCTGAGCAGTCATGCAGCAGCTGTGCCTGGCTTCTAGCTTGTTGGGAAACCCCCTGGACTGGAATGGCTCCAGGTACTGTTTAGTCATATATGGACAAATGGCAGGGTATGTCCCCAGTACCTCATTCCTTACATTCTCATGAAAAGCAGAGATACTGTCTTGCCACTATGTCCTGGGACTCCCGAGAACGCCTGGCACTAACTGAACATATATTTTATCACATATGTGCATGCTGATATGTGTATTTTCCAAAACTTAGCAGTATTTAAGGAAAGAAAGTAAAGAGAACAAAACAAATTTGAAAGCCCCGTGTGAGTTACCGATCTTTCAACACCTTTGATAATCAGAGTGAGTCAAGTAGGGAATGTAAAAACCACCCTGCATGACATTGTGAAACATCTGAAAATGGACCATTTATTCAGATTAGCTCATTGTTTCTATTCCTTGAGCTGAGCTGTTCCTGTCAGTGATCCATGCAAGTGTTTGCCACTTATGTCAGTGAAGAGTCCATTTGGATGGCTGACAGGTTTGGCCTCATTTAGTCTAAGAGTAACATTTCCTTAAACAGAAAACGTGAGAAGGATTTCTTCTTCTCCAACAAATCATAAAACTGCAGAGTTATTGTGATCTATTGTATAAACATGCACTCAGTTCCTCCCCCCCTCCCAAAATTGAATTATTTAGCTAGCGGGTTATATTTAGGTCCTTTTAAAGAAAGTCGATATTAAAGGAAGTAGACTTTGATCTGTCTTTGAGGTGATAACTCTTAATATGTTCTATCTATCCATTACGAGGCTAAGATGGATAGGGCAAATTCATCGTTGGTTTCGGAACACAGTTGAGTGTTGAATGGCATCCAAATTATAAAACTCATTTAAACAATAACCAAAACCTTCAAATTTAAACAGGTTATACATTTACATTTGAACACTAACTTTGATAAAAATCACACAGGTTTGAACTCTGCAATGGTGAATTTTACTTGCATAGAAGACATGCATGGTGTCTCAAGGATAAAAATGCTCAGGCCCTCAAACATCATGAAATATTGTAATGTAACTACCCCTGGTCAGATTGTCTTCTTGTTCTTCCGCTTCTTCCTTATCAGCACGTATAGAACCCTAGAATATCTGACACAGCTCATCTTTCTACGGCTATAAGTAAAAAGCATCTGATCCCTACATTTCTCCCTCTTTCCCTAAGATCTCTGTGTCAGGGTGTACTCTATGTCACCAGAGAAACAGGAGCCAATATTTTGCTCTGGTTAAAAAGGGTAAAACCTATGTGCCATGAAGTTGTAAGTCAAATTTGGTGCCAGCAAACAGGAGGAGATCAGGCCTGTGTGCCTTACCCTAAACAGGAAAGAGAGAGAGATGTGTGACATGAAGAATGATATGCCCTGTAGGACGTATTTTAAGGTTACTGTGCACAAGAATAACACAGGTTAACATTAGGGCTAAGATACTGTACCTTTGTAGCTTTTTTAATTATCAGCAACAGCTCTTGATTCTCAATTCTTTGACATGGTGTGTATTACAAAATACTACTCCAATAGCAACTAATACATTAGTACCTTTTATAGCATTCAAAGACTGATTATATTTCTTGGCCAATTGCATCCTTAAAGTTATTACTTTGGAAGTGCACAGGGCACCTTTGTCTTGCCACTGGCAATAAAGTCAGTGGGCCACACGTGACCTCATTCTGCTTTCTCTATTAGGGGCTTCGCTCTGCCTCTGGAGTGGCGCTGATGTACTTGCTCTATGATTAGGATATGACTTCAGAATGACAGTAATGTGGCTCGCTCTGCCACTGCACTGCTGAACGTGTGCAGCGAGCAAAGTCTAATATCAATTTGGGAGGATGTGTTTTAGTAACTTATGCTAATAGGATTTCCGTGTGTTAGTCCATACAAATAAGTTCCCTTGAATAGCACGCATTCTCACGAACTGTTTCCCAACCCATGATTTTGACGGTACACCAAGCTAAATTTCTTCAAAACCATATTTCATTACTTTTACCTTTACTAGGTAATCTGTTTTATGAAGGTTATGCAAATGTACCCAAATTATTTACAATCTCTTGTTGACACTGCAGGGTGATTCAGGAAGCCTAAGTTCTCCTCATGGCTCTGCCGCTGTGTGGCTGAGGGACCATGGCACTCTCCTCCTCTGCTCTTCTCTTTAACTATTTTTAAAATGGCAACAGGGATAGTAGACTTGTTGAAACACTTTGAAGTCAGTAGAAGGAAACCATCAAAGTGTTCTAATCTGTAGAATGTGTATATCTGTATTTTAACAAATTCACATCTAATCCGTCTTCCAGTGATAATTTAATTGTAGAGTTATAGTTAGCAACCATTTAAATTAATCCATGCTTCATACAGTGTGTTTGTGATCACAGGCTTGAGTTTCCAGCTCATTATAGCATGTTTCCCACCAGTGCACAGCATATACTCTCTGTTTCTTGTGTCATGTTGTCTAGTTTGTCCTTCAAAAGAGAGAGTCTTCCCTACTGACATACTGTGGTTGTTTTATCGTGTCAGTTAGTGACAATACTGCCAATAACATGAAGAGAAATAACAGACTAAAAGTGACATCAGTTTACTCCAGCTGAGGACTTGGTCCTATTACAACAGGAAATGGTAAAATCGCAATCAAGATCAACACAAGGATTTTTTTTCTAGACAATTCTGTAGGTACCTTATTAATAATGTAAAGTCACAAAGAGAATTTTTAAAATAACCATGGAGATGACGCAACACTGCAATTTGGACACTTTCAAAAACAAACATATTTGTTACAGTGGTCAGCAGTTCTGTTCCTGAAGATGGCCACAATCAAACCCAAGGTTTTAAAGCAGGAGAGACCAAAAAACTCCTGCCCATCTCTCTTCAAGTGAAATGTGGTTCAATCCTAAACATCTGAGCAACTGGAGATGCCTCTGACAGAATCTGAAAATCACATTTGGGCTCTGATGCATCATGGAAAGAGCAAGTGCTGTGGCGAAGGCTTTTCATCAGGTGCCTTAGTAGCCCATTTTGCAGTGTGCAACCTTGTGAACAGGTAGTCAACAGTCACTTTGCTGTTTGTGATCACAAGCCCGGGGGTAACTATCTCAAATAATTGCCTTAGGATATGCATACATTTCATGGTATCTAGAGGAAAGCACCGTATTGGCATCACAGGGCAAAAAAGAAAACCTATGTCCTTTTGTCATAACTGAGTATCACTGCCACTATTAAATGAGACTTCCCAAATAAAACTAATACAAACTGTTTGACTGCACCTTTACAAAGTGACACAGCAAAGTGGAAACTTGTTGCAGTGCAGATCTATGAAAAGAAAAGCACTACAGCCTTACAGAAGCTGTCATGGATCCTACGTGGTGGAGGATGGAGGGAAGCAGCCAAGGGCTATGAAGACACATGGTGGTCTCTGAAGAACATTACAGCAAAATTGGTTTCAACCAAGTTTTCATTCTGGTCTTAATAAAATGCATCAATTCTTTGTTTTTTTCTGTACTGAAAAAGTTTCAGTATAATCCCCTTGATATCTTCATCCATCTGACATTACTCATGTGAATAAGGAAAGCTGAAATCAAAACCAGAATCCACATGGCCAAAGTGGTCTTAAAACTTTTGAGCATAGCAGACCAACTCAGCGCCTGGGTACGTTGTACACAATGCCTTTGACTCGGGAGTCATTACAGATGTACTCAGATGTACACATTGAAACAGGAGAGGCGATTAGCTTTTATTTATATAGTACACAGCTCTACACTGCCCACTGGGCTGAATTTTTTTTCCATTGAAACCCAGTCATTTATTTTCCATATATTGAAATAAACTTTTCTATGGTTTCCACAATGTAAATGACAAGGGGACATCCCCACTCTTGCCTATTGAAACAAATGACAACTATCCTAAAAGCCAAACTCTTAACTAGCTTGTTCGGTAGCTATCAGGAACTCTCTTTTTTGCTAGTACAAAAAAGAGAACAAGATCTAGCTCATTATCCTATCTGGTCTGGTAGAGCTAAAATAAAAATAATGGAGTAAAACTTCATTTTGTCACTGTGTTAAACACTTTTGAAAACATCCCAGTACAGGTCTGTTCAAGAGAGGATTTCATCTTCAATCATTTTCTAGAGCTTTTTGATTTTTGACTACTGGTGTAATCTCTTGTGTCAGGTTTTAAAATCTGATTCTTTGAATTACAAGATGACAGACCAGGTAAACAACTGCTGGT